TATTAAATTGTTAAAAGTGGCTTGCTGTTTTATATCAACATCCTCCTTGAATTTGATCCTAAATAACAATTTGGCTCCAACAATTTTGAAGTCCCTCATTTTTATATTAAAATTTTATTTTTCATTCATTTTATATATGATTAAATGTTTTTGGAGCTTAATTATAACTCATATAATTTTATAAATACATCAAAATATAATAAATTTCGTTTTTTTATATTTTATAAAAAAAATTTCAATTGACAGGCGGCCAAATATATAATATTAATTAATGTACTCTCACTAAGATAGTTGAAATATATAATATTAAAATGCCAGTGAGTTAATATTCACCTATAAAAAAAATTTTGATCAATGATACCAATGGATTAACATCAAGCCCAACTTCTATCCTCTTCTACTTCATGAAAATTTATTTTGTATGGACGATCAAACGCACTTTACCGTCCGAAGACCAATCATAATGTGCCACGTCAACAGTACCGAGAGCACAGGGGGTGATGTGGCTCATTCTAGTTGGTCTCTGGACGGCTTTCGACATCCGCACAAAATAATTTCTGCCGCTTCACACTCAATAACAGTATTGGATGCTTTCTAAATTCTTTATAAAAAGGGAAAGAGCATCTAAATTCTAATTAATCTTTGAAAATCTTGCTGATAAAAGGTAAAAAGTAAAATAAGAGTCTCTCTCTTTTCTACCATAAGCAGAGTGCCTGAGGACAAGATGGATCAATAAATCTGCTAAAATAATCCAAGTACCCAAAACATAGCACACCACTGCCCAACTCTTTTTCATCTAATGGTAACCAGCGTTATAAATGACTAAGTTTACTAATAATTTTTGCAGTTCCAATGAGAGGGAAGGCTTGTGTGGGTCAAGCAAGAGAGGTTGGCAGTTAGAGAAGGGATGATGAGGAGTTAAGGAGGATGGCCCCTCAAATGTCTCTCTTACATATATAGCTATTTATATTCCATTGCCTTTGGTCCCTCCCTTATAGTATTAGTGCTGGCCCTAACATTTAACGCAACCCACCTTTTTTATTTTTATTCTTTGGTCTTCCTAAAAGGTGAAAAACATCATGTGTATCATAAATTTCAGAAAGCAGCGGAGAAACCCATAAGTTGATAGAAAAATTACTAAGCATTAGCAATTGGATTAACATAAATTGGTTATATTTATGTATAAATATATTATATGATCATTTCAGCAATAAAAAGGGTAGTGACTAGTGATTGTAGTCATCAACACTAGTATGATGGGTGAATTTTGGTGCCCATGCAACGAGAAATTATTCCGTACGGAGTCCGGATGATAAAGAACCGTCTGGATGTTTAGCATAAGTTTGTACAAAATTTGTTTGTTTTTTTTTTATACACAGTGTTGTTGGAGTAGCTAGCTCCAGTAGAAGATAAGATTAGAGAGAATCGTCTTAGATGGTTTGGTCACATAAAACGGCGGCCTCCCGATGACGCGGTTAGGATGGTAGATGTATTAGATTTGAATTATGTTAAGAAAGGTAGATGCAGACCTAAAAAGACTTGGTTAGAAAATATTAGGAATGACCTTTCTTTATTAGATTTAAATGAGAATTTGGCTTTTCATAGGACACAATGGAGAAAAAAAATTCATGTAGCCGACCCCACGTAGTGGGATAAAGGCTTGATGTTGTTGTAGTGTGTACAAATACTGTGTACACTCACATCCGGACGGTTCTTTACCGTCCGGACTCCGCACGGAATAATTTATCCCATGCAACATGTGCAATATTTGGTGGGCTCCATGTTCACATGCACAACAATACATACCTATCAGAATAGGGTAAGCACGTATGGAGCATCAACAGCCTCATGCTGGTGTTTTCTTGATAGAAATATAGATAAAGAAGTGATGAATAGCCTAAAGTTTCAGAAACAATAGCCATATAATTACACTCCTTACAACTAGTAGAGAAGTTAGGGAAGGGCAGAAGAAAGCTTTTAATTTCTTAGGTTTTGGGAAAGTCCTCCTGAAATTATATGTATTTCTACTTCTCTTTGTTGTATGTCGTATAAATTATTCGTCTTTGTTATATGTCGTATAAATTATTCGTCTAATATATTGTTGCATGTCATTAAGAGATGAAACATATGATGATTGCAGAATAATTATCTAAACATATAAAAATCTACCAACAATCTCATAATTACCACAAACTATATCAAATATTTGATCATATTCGAACCATCAGCACTAATATCATTTGTTATGAGGGTAGAATAATGAGAACCTAAATTAAACTTATTCATTAATATTTTGGCACTCATCAACCGAAATATTTAAGCTTAGCTAAGTAATAATGACTATTGAAAATTCAACTCTTATTTTTCTTTTTTTAAAGTCGAAAAGCATATATATGTATCATCTTGTAACAATTTCATTGTCTTAACTCGGCTCACAAGCTAACTCAAACTTATTAAAGTAGATAGAGGTTTGAACTTAAGCTCAATCAAATGATTCAATCACCTTAGATTAGACAAAACACAAAGGTCCCTCTCTTCTGTTACTATATAAAATGTCTGTAGGCAAGTAGCTAAATGAGTACGTATTGAAAGCCAAAATATGACAATTTGAACGTAAGAGTGTTGCTTCCCTCCACCATTTTTGTTGCTTTAATATGGGCCCTTCGATATATTGTCTTCAAAATTTGAACTTGGGAGGAAGAAAAGGCACAAATTAAGGATTTCCAATTCAGCTAGTTGGCCCATGTGCAGCTAAATAATTGATAGATGTGTCGCATTTATTAGATGTGATCACCAATTTGATAATATGGTTGTAAGGGTGAAATAGTCTAAGACTGTGCGTTTGGATTATAGCTAAAGCCTTCCATATTTGTGAAGGAAACAAAATTCACTGTAAACTCTCTGTAAAAAGAAATAGCCACTATTATGTCCAACCAACTGCTTTATGTTTAATTTTTATGCCAACTAATTATTATGATATTTAGTATAGAATCTTCTATTTTTAACATCTTGAAAAAGTATGGAAAATATGTCTGTTTAAAGCCTAAAAATTGTTTTAAACAATTTTTTTATGCTTCCTCAGATCTTATTTTACTGTCAATAATGACTTTTGATTGATATAATACCCATCAAAATAAAGCTCCCAAATTTATAGTTATTCATTCTCTGAAATGAGTCAAATTTGTTCGTCAGATAGGTCGTCATTTAGACAAGAGTCTCGTTTCTTTTTTGTCTTACTCGAATTGGAACCATAAGGGTCTATCCATTTATTCACTGACATGAAATACTTTAGTGAACTTAAAAATTATTATAAAAAGAAAATTTCTCGTTCTATTTATATTATGAGTACTAGAAAATAAATTTATGATTATATTATGATATTAATTTATGCCCATCTAATATTAAAATAGTATGTTTAATAATAATTCTTAATCATACCTCTTGTAATTTATATTAATCTTTTTTTATGCTATTATTTAAATTATTATTATGAGTAATGCTATGGTGCGCAAAATACAACCCAAAAAACTCTCAAATCATTGGATAAATAGCAAATTATATATGCACTACAAGCTCTAAATGAGGAAGCAATGCATTTCCCAAATGGAATTTCAGGCTTCTTCTGGGACCGTTTTTTAATTGCTTCTTAAAGCAGAGTTTTAACACAAAAATTTTAATTTTCTATTAAAACTTCGTTTTAAAAAGTAAAAAAAAAAATCTTCCCAAATAAAATCTCAATATAGATAGTACAAACTACCAGTCTGTACTACCTATATTGTTCCATGATCTGCAAAGGCAACCGCAGTTCATATTTCCCGTCTTGAGGATGCCAATTTTAAATCTAAAAGGATAATCTTTTCAACTCGTGCACAAACAATCAGAAGCAGTTAAAGCCAGTCAAGCCATTTGAATTACTATTATTTAAATGCATTTGTCTGCACAAAACCGCCTCAAAAATTCAGAATTTGCAAACAGGTCCTATATAACCTTTTCTATTTTTTCAGGAGTGCATAAGCGTAAATTAAATAAAGACCTTAAAAAATTACTTTCTATATCTTTATCAAATAACCTAAAACTCCTACAAGGTCATCATCTATCTATCTATTTATTTCATAAATGATGTTTGATACATTAACTGTCTTTTGCAAAATAAAAAAATAAAAAAAAACAAATGGGGCAGGATAGCTTTGTAAATATCAAAATGGCTTTGTAAAATAAAAAATTACGTTACTGACCTCTTTGCCGTATAGTTCACTATTATATATGCACTACAAGCTCTAAATAAGGAAGCAATGCATTTCCCAAATGAAGTTTCAGACTTCTTTTGGGACGGTTTTTTAATTGCTTCTTAAAGCAGAGTTTTAATACAAAAATTTTAATTTTTGTACTAAAACTTCGTTTTAAAAAGTAAAAAAAAAAAATCTTCCCGAACAAAACCTCAATATAGGTAGTACAAACTACCAGTCTGTACTACCTATATTGTTCCATGATCTGCACAATTCATATTTCCCGTCTTGAGGATGCCAATTTTAAATCTAAAAGGATAATATTTTCAACTCGTGCACAAACAATCAGAAGCAGTTAAAGCCAGTCAAGCCATTTGAAATACTATTATTTAAATGCATTTGTCTGCACAAAACCGCCTAAAAAATTCAGAATTTACAGACTGGTCCTATATAATCTTTTCTTTTTTTTCAGGAGTGCATAAGCGTAAATTAAATAGAGACCTTAAAAAATTACTTTCTATATCTTTATCAAATAACCTAAAACTCCTACAAGGTCATCATCTATCTATCTATTTATTTCATAAATGATGTTTGATACATTAACTGTCTTTTGCAAAATAAAAAAATAAAAAAAAAACAAATGGGGCAGGATAGCTTTGTAAATATCAAAATGGCTTTGTAAAATAAAAAATTACGTTACTGACCTCTTTGCCGTATAGTTCACTATTTATGCTTTCCCCTTCTCCCACTCTATTGTCCAATTTATTTCAAAGCTGAATTCCACACTCCCTTTAGAATGACAATATTACTCTAAGAGACCTTCAGAAGAACCTCCTCGTCACAAACCAGGAAGCCAGAGAGTATGGGACGATCCCCCTGCTGCGATAAGGTTGGCTTGAAGAAGGGGCCATGGACGTCAGAGGAAGACCAGAAGCTGCTTGCTTACATTGAGAAGCACGGCCATGGAAGCTGGAGGGCATTGCCTAACAAAGCTGGTGAGAATATTGCAGAAATCTTAAGTGAATTGTGCTATTTTTACAGATTCCAAGCTTGTTTACTGCTAATATGCTTACAGGCCTACAAAGATGTGGAAAGAGTTGCAGGTTGAGGTGGACAAATTACCTCAGGCCAGATATCAAGAGGGGGAAGTTTAGCATGCAGGAGGAACAGTCTATCATCCAGCTCCATGCCCTCCTTGGCAACAGGTACACGAAAACCTGCAAGAATTTGAAATCATGCACGTTAGTATTGTATTTTACTCCTACTTGCAGCTGTCTTTCTCCACAATATCCCTTCATGTAAAATATTTGTTTGCTTTCCCCAAATCTTTGTCTGTCAAGGCCGCTATCACAATCAAATTCCTTTCGCTTCAGTGGTTGCAGATCACTGTAGCTTCACAATAAAATTTCCATTTCTAGAGCAAAGCATGTTTTGTTTCCGGCTAACCAAAAAGTTCCTGCAATTCTAGCTTTATGGTTTAGTAGCTCATCAAACTTCTGAACCAGAGCTTGCAAAGTAGTGAATTGATGGCTCCATTTCAGGTGGTCTGCAATTGCAACACATCTCCCTAAGAGAACTGATAACGAGATCAAGAATTACTGGAACACGCACTTAAAGAAGAGGCTAGCAAAGATGGGGATCGACCCAATAACGCACAAGCCAAAGAGTGACAATCTTTCCTCGGCCGATGGTCATTCAAAGTGTTCAGCTAATCTCAACCACATGGCACAGTGGGAGAGTGCCCGCCTTGAGGCTGAGGCTCGCCTTGTGCGTGAGTCCAAGCTCCGTAGTACTACTATTCCCTCTAACACCGCCAGCACCTTCACCCCGAAGAATCAGCCTCAACTACCTCCTTCTGTCCCCATGACACCAGCAGCTTCTCCCTGTCTTGACGTGCTGAGCGCTTTGCAGGGTGTCTGGGCCAAACCTGCAGCCATTAATGGCCAAGGAAGAGGATACACCATAGACCTCGAGTCGCCGACCTCCACCCTAAGCTTCTCAGACAACAATATGATGGCACCAACAATCTCAAACTTCTCAATGGACACAGCAGCACCGTTTGTAAGCACAGAAGCATCTTCATGGCTTAGTGAATCCTCTGGCGGAGACTTTGCCGCTGGCTTTACAGGAATGCTGTCGGATGAAGCTAATGAGCAGAACTCTGCAGACAGATGTGACGACTCAGACAATGCTGAATGTGGGAGCTGCGTGGATGTGGAGGAAAGCGAGGGTGAAGAGGATGAGAATAAGAACTACTGGAGCAGCATATTAAACTTGGTTAACTCATCTTCTCCTCCAAATTCACCTCCACCTGTGTTCTAGTACTCTGAAGTGTAGCATCTATAGTTCTCAGGTAAGTTTTTCTTTGCTCATCATCATTTGATCTTTTTTCTCTCCCTGTTTTTTATCAGTTACAAAAAAAATGGACAGTTGTGATGGCCAGTTTTACGCTCCTCCTGAAAAGAAGCTCTAAGAGTCAAATTGGACAAATGTTATCCTCCCTTCTTACTATGTAAATTTAGGAGCAGTACAGAGTGAAAAGGAATACTCAGAGAGGGCAGAGAATAAGAGAAAAGAGGGAAAACAAAATTAAATGTCTAAGTAATGATGTGTTTGTGTGTAGAATCATACATATATGTTGTCATTGGTAACTGTGGTAATAATAATGGTGGTATTATTATTGCTGTGAAGTTTTGATAGTCTGGGGCAGCAAGTTTTGGTTTTTTGGCAAAAATTTATACCTGCAATAAGTGCAATAATGCATTCAAAGTGCAAAAGACTTGCACCTTCTTGGTGGCAGAAAATACATCAACAAAATTAAAGCTCTATAAACTCTTAAAATCCTCTCAAATACATATTTTTCAATATTTTCTTATGATAAATATTTCTAGAAGAACCAATTTCTCAACTTCTAACTAATAATCTATAATACCATGCAAATATTCCTTCTTTGATTGAGCTTAAGAAATTTAAGCTATTAAAAATATATTTCTCATTTTATAAGCAATTAAAATAAATTTACTAATATTTTAATTTAAAATTATTATATATTATTTTTCATTTTTAAGATGCAATATTACTTTTTGTACAATGTGTATTTATTCCAAAGTAAAAAAAGTTTATGGAGAAATGATAAAGATGTCCATGTTCAAGTTTAAGAAAGATGCATACGTTCAAAGGCTGTGAAGTTGATTCAATTTCCTGTTCATTAGCCTTGCTTATTAGAACAAGAAACAAAGTAATTCCGGTATTATTTTCAAAGCTGGAAAAAAAAGGAAAAATTTTGTATTAGGAGCTCCTTAAATAAAGCTATATCAGAAGTGCAAGATTTTTACTCAAATTATCACCGCAATTTGTGAAAACTACAAAACAGTTATTTCTATTCTTGACAATTGCGAGGTAATCAAAAAAATATCTTGTAATTTTTATATAAAATGCCTTGTTTTGCACAAAATTGCATGTTATTTAAGCAAATACCCTGCTCCTAATGCATTTTTATATGAGTTCTTGGTTTTTTTCCCTGTTAAAAATAGAAAAAAATGTATCACAGTCTATCTTCTCAAAGGGTTTCTTCTAAACTATCAGCACCCCCACTGTCAAAACTTTCCAACAGAAATGATTGAACTTCAAGAAGAGCTTTACAGGATACTGCGAAATCTAATGAGAAGTTTGCTTTATTTATATTAATAATAATGAAGGTGCATCAGCTGATTCCACGTATGCTAATAATAAAGAGAAGTGGTCACAAGAAAATTATAAGCCTTTATTCTTATCCAAACAGATCAGTGGTCCTGCCATAAACACAAAAAACTCTCGCTATGATCTCTAGGTGAAAAGGAGGACGAAGCTTATATTTATAAACAGTAAAGTAATTAATCACATTCGATAATAATGTATCTATAAGCATAGGCGAGTACATGGTGAACACAGGAAAGATTGTTGCATGTCACTATCCAAACATTTAAGACTGGTTTGGGCGGTGGATTTTGCTAATCCAGATCTGACATTTTTAATAACTGATCGATTGGAATGGAGGATGAAGAACTAACTTTCCCTTGACTCATATTCTACTTACACCCAAAAAATTTGACCATGAGAAGAACTGTGGAATAGAATTCCACAATTCAGTATAGAAACTTGAAGTTGGGAGTTAAATAAGCTTCAATCCACAGAAAAATTATTACGTGGGAGTCCGGATTCATCCAGAGACCAATAAAAATGCACCACGTTGCCCTTAAAAATGTACCACACTCGGTACCGCTTGGTACTGAGCGCGGAACCGGACAGTTCTACCGTACAATGTCCGCACAGAATAATCTCCCAATCGACATAGGTGTTTATAGTATTTTGGAAGAACCGGATGATAAGTTTCAAAGAAAATAATATGGAATTTGGAAGTGAAATGATCGAGAAGCTAGAAATGAAACTCATAGGAATTTTAACCTCCCAACTATTTGGTTGAGTGATAATGTTTTTGAGCCCTGAAGTAGAGATCCCTATTTCAAATCCTTGTAAAAAAAAATAAAGACCACTTGGGGGTTTTTAGCTTTATGATTTAAATGCTCTTAAGGAGCGATGATTTGAATGTTATTTGTATTTTATTGAGGATCTTAAACCTTTATTTATACAACAGAATTCAAAATTATTCTTGATAATTTCTTCCTATAGAAATTGGAAACTACTAATTACATAGAAAATACATGACAAAATATTCTAGGACAAAATATACAAGACTAACCATATTTCTATATTTTTTAGACATGGAAATAAAGAAAGTATTCTACAACTTGCATATATTTATTCATCTTGAAGTCTAAGAGAGATTTTGTCACACCTCGAAAGGCGATACATCATGGCACCAAATGATGCGATCAAGAGAAAAAAAACTTATGTACTCACAAGAAGAAAATATGTATAAACCAATAATAAAACTTTAATTTTATTGCAATAAATTTAAAAGTCGTGTACACCAATACAAAAGGGCTACTACAATCAAAGAAAATAAAAAAAAAAATTCAAATGATATAAAAGAAATTACCCAACCCTCAAAGCAAATATATAATAATCTACTACTATATATAAAAAATCAAATATAATCTAATGTTGTTAGCTCGGCTCTTGTTGTTATGATCCAATAAATACTCTACTATGATTTGCTATAAAAAGAAAGTAACAACACGTGAGTTTGACAAATCAAACTCAGCAAGTAACTTTTATCTATTAAAGCATAAGCAATAAAATATGGGGCATACAGTATGACCAATTAATAAGTACGAGGGGAAATCAATGAGTCACTATAGCAATGTCACATGGTATGATTTCTACAACAAATTTTAGCATGATTATACTACAAGTATATATGTCAAACTACCATTAATATAAAATCATTTTAATGCTTATAAATGCAACAACAAACACATATAGTCTGTTTGTCAAATACCGATCACCAGGAAGCTAAACACAATCAAAGAAAATTCAGTGAATTTCTATGGATTCGTCACTCTAAGGGCCCGTCAGACCAGCTAGCCAAAATCAATCAAGTTATTCCAACCTACACACAATCATACAATGCATGTGCTTTTATAAATAATCAATATAGGAATAACAATTTTTATGACCAACATGATTTACAGCAGGAGTATCATTTACTATATTCAAATCTACAGGCATGAAGAATATATATATATATATATATATATATATATATATATACAAGTTTAGCAGAATAAAATAAATCTAATCCAATAAGAAAACTTTCTGAATAAATCTAACTCAATCTAATCCACCAAAACGTAGAAAATAATCACGATCATTGATAACTTTGGTAGACTGGAAAAAGGCAAGGAGAAAACTTTCATATTTCATGATTTCTGGATCACAATAGGAAGATGAATGAAATAGCGGAGAGAAGAAATATACTTCTTGCAAATGAGGGTTGTTCGTTGATGTCAACATTTGATTGAAGGAGATAGAAGGACAATCTAAGAAGGCTAAGAATTTCCTCTGACGGCGACTATGAGAGGTAGAAATCATCCAACAACTGCGAGAGATAGGAGAGGGAGGTTTGGTGGCTGTGGAGAGGCAAGAGAAGGAGAATAAGCGATGCCCTAGCCTTCCATTTGCTTTAAATGATGAGAGGGAAGGTCTGGAGTGGAAAAAATCATGAGAGGGGGGGGGGAGTGAATTACATGATTGTATAGAGAATAATGAGTGGGAGAGGGAGGATCATAGGGGGTATGCTTGTTTAGTTTGTTCATGTGCAAAAGGCTCGTTAGGGGCAAGCCTTGGCTGGTTCGTTTGACAAAGAAAGGCCTAGAAAGATCAATCCAAATTAAGTTATTATAAATTTTTCACCTTACAAAAGCCCATAAATTGTCACTTTATCTACAACAATGAGCAACCAACTTCATAATCCCACGAATTATCAAGCAAGCATAGAGCCATAAATACTTTTCAAGCGGATCCCAGAGAGGTGAGAAGAATCTTTAGCAATTATGCGATTGGGAATGAATTATTCGATGAACACTTTTACCAATTTGATAAAAGTAGGGATCGTTCAGACTGAAAGTGAATAGAACACGTTCGAGCTTGTCCTTTGAGGGTAGCAGAAAAAATCTGATAGAGGAGCCAGCCTGAGGCTCGCTGGATATGCATGATGGTTCTATAGTGATCGATATGCTCGGTAGTTTGAATCCTGCCAAAATAGGGTATTGAAGAATGGCTTCAGTCATGGGTGATGACTCTTGGAAGTCCCATTGACGAAAAGATTATCTTACACTTCCCACAGGGAACTCTTCTCGAACAAACCTTCACACTTTATGTCGTAGGGCATTGCAAAGGAGCTCAGCAACTTGCGGCCGAACTAAGTCTTCAAGGATGTCCAGAGGAATATAAGGTTGCCGACTTGTATGGAAAGGATGGGTAGAATTTATAGTGTCAGCAAGTTCATTTTCTTGATGTGGTTACGGATGCCTCCTTGGCGGAGGAAGAGGAATCTCTACGTGAAGATGTTCGAGTTGAACATCTTCAGCCAGTGGTGGATCTCAATGGAGAAGAACCTCCTCCTATGGTGCTAGCGCCGGCTGTCGAGTCTCTTGCAGGAGTTCAAAGATCTCATTTTGAGATTCTTTCATCTTTCGAATATGCTCTTATAGGGAAGGTCCTGCAGTTTTTTTCTTTAGCGGTATTTTGCCCCCAAGGATAAAAAGAGATAGATACTTGGCATCCATGATTCATAGACTAATTCCTGGATTGATGGATGTTGGAGTGGGAGGCTCCCAAGTTGTGATTGCTGCGCATGTTGGTCATTGAAGAAATACTTAGAATTGTGGAATTGTTTCCCACAGACAGTGCTAAACTATTGCGGGTTAGAATATACGTGGCGATAGAGTTAGAAAAATTTTCATCTTAGCCTTGTATGGATATCCAACACACAATCATAATAAAAAAGGAACACCATTAATTTTTATGTGGAAACCCTGGAAAAGGGAAAAACTATGGGGCATAACCCAATTGAAAGGATTCCACTAGTGTTTTCTTGTATTACAAGTGGTTAATTCGTCCCTGAAATTGAGGACGATCAGATTACAATAATCAGCTCATGGGTTGAAATTTAGTTACAAACATATATCAGAAATCAGTGACATTGGTGCTTCAATTGGTTGTTGGGCAGAACTCTGGCGCCATCCATCTGTCAGGCAGAACTTCTGTGTGAGCCAGCTCTCGGGAAGAACTCTGGCGTCAGTCTACTGTCCGGCAAAACTCCGGCGTCAGTCGACTGTCGGAGAACTCCAACGTCAGTAGGTTGTCCAACAGAACTTCGCGTTAGTTGAAGGTCAGCCATAATTCCGGCGTCGATTGGCGATCGGGCAGAACTCCTGCTTCAGTCGGCTGCTGGCTGAAAGTCCCGCGGATTCGCGGTGGTCGAGGAGGAGTCTCTCCCTTTTCTTCTTTCTCTTCTTGCTTCCTTCTATTATGTTCTTCTCTTCTCTTCTTGCTTGGGTCCCCTCTTATGAGAAATGAGAGGTCTATTTATAGTTTTCTGAGAGTGCATGAACAGTAAATAAGAGAAAGATCAAGAATACATTGTGAGTGGTTTGAATGGACGACCGATGTTGAATACCTTGATCATGGATTATTTATTGAGCATTTGAATTTTCAATGATATCAGAATTCAATGATCTTGGGCTAGTTGGATTCGTCTCGTCAGGCTGCTCGATTCGATTATAAGCAAACCATATTTGGAAACTCTTTGGTAACCCAAATTATGGATTGAACATTCCAAATGCACTTTGGGTCTTTAATTTGTATTCATTTGGGCTTAGATTAAGTTGAATTTGGCATTGTTGGTTTTGTCTATTTCTGAGACATTTAGTTTAACTGTAGGTTTACTGAAATTGGAGTTCATATAATCTCCAATTTAATTTTTGAAGTTCCCAACTCGATTTTTTCCTCGAGATTCATGCTTGATCAAGATAATTTTATGATGATATATCAATAATAATTAAATTAAAAATACATGGGTTTACCTGGTTACTTATTTTTTTGTTTGAAATAACCATTTTAATTTTAAATTGCTTATAAGTTATATCAGAAATAATAAATTTAAAAAAAATTCAACCACATAATATATTGAAAAAAATGTTATAGTATTCTTGCGGGCTAGAATATACTCGGCAATAGAGTTTTAATCGTTTGTCTTAGCGTTGTATGGATATCCAGCTCACACACAGAGAACACAAGATTTTTTACGTGGAAAACCCTTGAAAGGGGAAAAACCACAGGGCCTGGCCCAGTTGAAAAAGATTTCAATAAAACTTGAGTTGGTTACAATGGGCTGATTCGCCTATGAGGACGATCAGATTACAAGTAGCAATTGTACAATAGAATTCCGGATGTCAGGTGAAGATATGATAGAGCTTCGGGCCTCAGAAGATGGTCTTACAGAAATTCGGGCCTTAGATGATGACCTGGCGAAGATGAGGCTTCGGGTGGAGGTTTGACGAAGGTGAGGGCTTCTGATGGTGGTCTAACAAAAGTGAAAACCTCAAGTGGTGGTCCGGCGGAGCAATGACGTTAGACAATGATCAGGCTGAGCACAGGGCGTCAGGTGGTGGTCCGGCAGAGCAACGAAGTTAGGCAGTGGCCCGACGAAGCACAGGGTGTTAGGTGGTGGTCCGGCGGAGCACAAGGTGTTAGGTGGTGGTTCGGCGGAGCAACGGTGTTAGACGGTGGTCTGGAGGACGTCCGACGTTGGTGGAACAGCGGTGGTTCATTGGAACTCCGGCGGTGGTCCGGCGAAACTCCGGCGGTGGTCGAGGAGGCTAGGAAGCAAAAGCGATCTCCAATCTCTCTCTCTTTTCCTTAGGCTCAGAGGTTCTTTTTCAAGAGGAGAGAGAGCTCTACTTATAGATTTTGGGAATGACATGACCCGTAAATAGATGGAGGATCAAGGGTAAGTTGGGAGTGGTTGGATGGATGGCCGATCTTTAATCCCTTGATTATGAACCGTTTGATGGACATTTGAATGTCTTAGTGATGTCGGAATTTAGTGATCTTGGGCTCGTTGGATTTGGCTCGTCGAGCCGCTCGATTCGAGTATAAGTTCGTTATGTTTAGAAACCGTTTGATAATCCAAATTGGGGTTTGAACCTTCCAACAGTGCTTTGGATCCTTGATTTGGACCGATTTGGGCTCGGATTGGGTCGAATTTGGTGTCTTTGGATTTGTATTTCTGAGATGCTCAGTTTGACTCTTAAGTTTGCTGAAATTTGAGATCGGATACTCCTGATTTTAATTCCGAAAGTTTCTACCTTGATTTTGCTTTGATATTCGTGCTCGATTAAGATTATTTTTGGACGATGTATCAAGTATTTGTCATACAAACTCTAAAATATTAATCAAGATAAGAAAATATTTGGAGCATGAATGACAAACATATTATATTTTTAATATCAATAGTATTGTTCATAAATTTATGTAAATTTTTTTCTATGTAAAATGAGTTGGAATAAAAAAAAAATATGATGCGGATTTTATTAAATATGGTGGTATTTATGATTTGTAGAATTTGGAACCCTTCAATGTCGGGCAAATTATTGCATCCGGTCACCGGACGCGGAAAATAGGTTCGGACATCCAATAAAAATTTGTCATGTCACTTGCGCTTTTGACTTGTGCTTTAGTTGCGCTTTTGACTGCGCTTTGACCTGCACTTTTAACACCCTTAATTAAAAATAATATTTTATTAATATCAGTAACTATCTCCACCTCCGGTGACAGGATGCAATAATTTGCCTCAATGTCGGCCCTATCGCATTCCGGATTCCGCTGTGTCGCGCTCTTATACAAGCGATCAGTTGCCGAAACCGCGGGGGATTTTTGGGAGGAAGTTCGACACAGGCGACTTCGACCAATTTTAGGGTAAGGATTTTCAAATTTCTTTTTGGGATCTGTCTTTTCCAATTCTTATTAGATTATTGATTCATAGTTTTAATCGCAAGTTATTTGGGATTTCTCTCCGGACTTGTTTTCCGGTATTGTAATTGAGTTGCGTTAGTTTTTCTCTCTTTGAAATTCTGGAGCTTCAAATTATTAGTTTCTAGCAATTATCAAATATCTATTTAATTTTGTGTTTTTTCCTCAAATAGCTTATTAGGATCATTATTTTTCCTTTATATTTAACAATGTTTCAGCTGAATTCCCCAAACTTATTCTGCTGCTTCTCTTTAATGTAGATTTTAATAATACAGTGAATCATTTTCTGGATTTTGTAAGTTACATTAAAATGCAGTCTTGCAATCCAGGAATCTATCTGGAGTGTCTAAGCTATGGGTAAAGATTCTAAGCCCAAGGAATCAGCAAAAAAGGGGAAGGGAAAGCAGCCTTCTAGTGGAGAGGAAGAGAAGACTTCCAAGGGTAAAGGGAAGGGTGGCAAGTCGGGAGATGATCTTGGCACCTGCACCTATGTTAAAGGTTCTTTACTGCCTTGGAAAAAAGATATTTTGCTACATGCAATATTACTGTTTTTACTTGAGGTGCTTTTCCTTTACGGTTGTGCATGTTTCGTGCAGTAGTTTACAGTTGAATGTATTTTCATATCATTTGCTGCATTTTTTTTAATTAAAAAGTAGGTTGTGTAAACTACAAAGTACAAATTATAGTTACAATGTCATTTCAGGAGAAGTATAATTAAGCTGCTTATAAATGGCAATATATGAGCTAATTTCAATCATATGTAGAAAATATTGCGCATCCCACCATTGCGATTTTATTGAAAATTTTCATTTTTATGGCATGCTACTTTGCTTTATGCCTAGGATCTCAAGGGTAATGCTTATTCTCTTCTAGTTTTTATTAACTTAGTGCTAAGTTATTCTTAATCCTCTCATTATTTTCCTCCATGCATTTCTGTGCAACCAAGTTTGAAATTTTTTTTTTGGACTCTTTATAAGATTTTCCATGTTGCTTAGGCAAATACTTACTTTGTTAATTATCCTATTATTTTTGGGTCCTTAAATTGCAAGCTTCCTATTGAAGTCTAGTTTAGCAATTTGCCATTATCTATGTCTTATCCTTGATACCGGGGAATGGCTACTAGAAAAACAATTTTGTCCTCAACATGTGTTGATTCTTTATGCTACCCTATGATGCAATTTCCTTTGGCAGCGGATAGCTTGTTGTTGGCTTTATCCTTTTGGAAATGTACGTGGGCTGCGAAGTTTGGATTGTTGTGTTCCGTGTAGTATGAAAATTGCAGATTTTGGAGCTATCCACTTAATTATAACAGGGAAAAAAAGAGTGGGACCAATGGTTTGATTTTTATTTGTTGATCTCGTGCCTTTCAAATGTGCGGTATGTTAAATTGGCAGTGTGGACTTTCCAAGTTTTTAGGAGTACAAGACTTTGAAATGGGGTATTTATGGCTTCTATTTGTTTATTTCGATTATATATGATCCTATTAGGATAGTAGATGCATTAGATCCGACCTATGTTAAAAAGGTAGAGGTAGATCTAAAAAGACTTAATAAAAAAGTATTAAAAATGATTTTTTTATTAGATTTAAATGAGCATTTGGCTCTTAATAGGATATAATGGAGAAAAAAGATTCATGTAGTGGGATAAATGCTTGTTTATGTTGTATAATTTAAATTTAAATTGAGCTAATCATATGCTAACCATATCGAATAGTCTAGATTACGTGGAGTCTATAAATAGTTGTTTGGTGGTGTGTAATTTGGAACTTTTGACTTCAATAATATTTCTCTTTCTAGTTTTAATATTTCTTTAAATTGTTTGTATGATTCTTTCAAGTGGGATACAAACTTGATTACATAATCTCAAAGGCAATCATCTCCTTGTGCCAAATGAGGCTTGGTTGTGGTTATTTTAGTATTTTTCATTCATTGTTCTATTTCATTTGTATAATTTGATATTTAGTGCTATTGATTTTGATATAAAATTACATATTAGAAATCTAATACGCAAAAATTAAATTCATATTGCTCATTGATATTTTATATGTTTTTAATTCCTCACATAATTTCTTGGATTATTTCAATTTTTTTATTGTCATTTGAGTTTTAATTATACTCTTTCCTTTTTACATTTTTAGGTAAGTATGATGTTGAATTAATTGATTTCTTGTGATTTGTGAATCCTTATTATTATTATTATTTTTTTTTTTTCGTGTATTCATACAATGGACCACATTAGTTGCATCAAGATGACCATTGGCCATCCTACATCAAATTGATATCATAATTTTAAATTACTCCAAAATATCACTTAGAAGCATGGCTAATTATGATGCAATCTAGGTTCCTAAACCTTTTAGGAGAACACTAGGTATGCAAATAATCACATCCTTTCAAAATAATTTAAACAAACACAACGATAAAATAGGACAAAACACCACTTATAATAAAACAAGCAACACACATACAACTCACAAAACAAACACAACCTTAGAACACAACAACACCTTACAACTTACAAGACACAACACCACTTTCAACTTATAAAAAATAACACAACTTACGACTAATCAAAGTTTCGAGAAGAAAGATACATGTGAAATGGGAACCATGGATAGAAGAATAGATAGAAGTCCGAGATGAAATATAAGGAAGGTAGAAAATGATAGCTCGTAAGCTACGATAAACCTGCATGTTTCACATTCCAAATATTCATCACATATCACTCTATCTTTTTCCACAAAGAAATCTGCCACCTTATATAGAAAAAGAAGGGAAAAGGATATTAAATACTTGCTTAAATTTGCCACCCAAACAACCAATGAAAGCCTTTAAAACAGTCACAAAGCTCTTCCAAAACAGCCCAATTAATTAGGAAATAAAGCATTCAACATAGGCTTCGGCAAATGAGGAAATCGAGCAGTCACAATAGGGAAAATGAGCAGCTAGCAATAAAGACAAGGAAACTGAAGGGGTATTTGGGTAAACGAAGAGCCAGAAGAGAAAACCGAACTCCAACATGGGGAAGACCAACAACCAACATCGGAAGACTAAACAACCACTTAAGGAAGACCAATTAGCAACATGAATATGAGAAGACAATAGAAAAGGGAGAAGACAACAAGGAAATTCAGCAAAGAGCTGGGAAAACTGAGAAGTCACAGGATAAAGATAGCTAGAAACACAAGAAAAAATAAAGAAAACATAAAATAGGAAATCTTGATTGCATCCAATTATAAGAGCATTTCAATTGATCATGAAAGTAATGGAAACTTCATAAATTTAATTGATTTAACTATTGAATATGTAAAATTAAATTTGTGATGACATTTGGTTAAAAGAAGAATTACTAATTTAGAAGCCAATCAATTTCGTTATTGTAAATCTGAAGTAGTCCAATCACAGTGATGAACCATCACATCTTAATGTGAATTTTAATTGGAGACATAAATCATCTTGATAGGCAATTTAGATTATTTAATAGTGATGCTTATGGAAATCATAAACATTATAATTTAGATATAGATGATGACGTAACCATATAACATTAAAGTTATAGTGTTTACCTATGATTATGAAATTGATCCTAAAGCTTTTATTGATTGGTTGTTAGATGTATATAACCTCTTTGAATGACAAATCATTTTGATGAATGATAAATAAGATTTGCAAAACCTAAGTTAATTGATCAAGCTAAATATGTTGGATGTGTAGGAAAAGATGAAGGGAAATGTTAGGAAGAGAATCTAGCTACTTGCACATGGACTGAAATGAAATAATTTTTAAAAGAGAAATATTTCCCTTTGTCATAGTGGGATATTTTCTTGGTGAATTTAATTCATTAAAATAAGTGAACATAATTTTTACTTAAAACTAAGATGTTTGAAGAACTGTTGTTATGATCAGATGTTATTATATAGCCAAAAGTATGATGTCTATGTTTAAATTTGATTTGAGACGATATGAAGAAAGATGATGCAATCTAGGATGCCTAAGCCTAGTAGGAGAACACTAGGTATACAAATAATCACTTTCTTTAAAAAACAAGCACAACAATAAAACAGGGCAACACACCACTTATAATAGAACGGACAACACACATACAAGTCACAAAACAAACACAATATTAGAACACAACTACACCTTACAACTTACAAGACGCAACACCGTTTTCAACTTGTAAAAAAAACAAAACATTGTCAAATCAAAGTTTTGAGAAGAAATATATAGGTGGAATGGAAACTGTGGAGAGAAGAATGGATAGAAGTCCGAGACAAGATATAAGAATAAAGGTAGAAGAGGATATTTCACATGTTATGACAAACCCGTAGATTTTTCGTTCCAAATATTCATCACATATCTCTCTCTCTCTCTCTTCACAAAGAAAACAACCACCTTATATAAAAAAAGAAGGGGAAATGATATTAAATGCACACTTACATTTTTCATCCAAATAGCCAATATAAGCCTTTCAAAACAGCCACAAAACTCTTCCAAATCAGCCTATTCAATTAGGAAATAAAGCATCCAGCATAGGGTTCAACAAATGGGGAAACCGAGCAACTGCAATAGGGAAAACGAGCTGCCAGCAGTACAAGGAAATTGAAGGGGTAGCTAGGGAAACGAAGAGCCAGGAGAGAAAACCGAAGTCCAGCACGAGGAAGACCAACAACCAACATGGGAAGACCAAACAACAGTAGAAATACGAGAAGACAATGGAAAAGTGAAAAGACAACAGAGAAATTCAGCAAACAACAGAGAAAACTTGGAAGTCACAGGAAAAAGGTAGCTAGAAACACAACTAGAAATTAAAGAAAACATTAAATAGTTAGCATTGACTGCATCAAAAGATGTCATGTCACCACATTTCATCACTTGAGCATGCTTTTTCAATTTGCATTAGATTTTGACTATATGCTAAAATGTTACTCTTATTGCTTCTAAGGTTATTAACATTACGGTTAATGCCTTTAAAAGGAAACCATTTGCATTTGCATTTGAATCTAAAATTTCTACCAATGCATTTTTTAAGTGTCATCAAACAGTAACAAAAAAAAGGGGGTCATCAAACAGTCTTATGCTAATGATTATCCTTCTACGAACTTGCATATAAGAGGGCATGAGGGAAATAATGAAATTAATGATTTTAATGGTGTTCACGAGGAAATTAGTGATTATGAGTATGCTTAAATTGATAATTCTTTGAATGTCATGCATTGCATCATACCTACTGGTAGAAAAAAATTTATTTATAATTTTTGAGCCGACCCCACGTAGTGGGATAAAGGCTTGATGTTGTTGTTGTTGTTGTTGTACAAAAAAAAAGAGAAGAAGGATATACACTATGCCCATTGTCAATCAAGATAAGAGAGGGAATAAGATAGGAGAAAAATTCACCTGCAAAGAAAATGAATTGGATTATCATCACAACGTGGGGTGAGGGTGCATTAATAGCAACACCTCAAGTTAAACTTGTCAAATGAAAATTGCACAAATAAC